CACAGTCTTTAACCTGCGCGTGATAAAAATCAACGCGCTGAGTATAAAACTCAGTAATGGTGCTCATAATCACATACTTACTAAAGTTGTTGATGACAACTTACTTAAAACATAAATTACATAAAAATCATTAAAATTTCAACATTACATTTACATGTTATAGCAAAAGAAATATCAAATTTAAACTATTAAATTAATAACATAAAAATTTTAATTCTTTATTACCATAAATCTTTTACTTAGACATTAAATCACCATAAATACTTTAAGTTCCTTTACTAGAATATCAAATAAAACTTCAATTAATAATATAAAATAATTTAAATTAATAATATAAATAATTTAATTCTTTCAAATCATAAATTCATTACTTGAACATTTATTATACCAATACATATACTATTTATTTTTAAAACCATGTTTTGAAATATCATGCTTTGAAAATTCATTTGATAACATAATCATTAGTTTCCAAAGTAAGGTTTACTAAAATTATATGAATCTCATTCATTAATTGCCTTACAAATATTTTCCAAGGGGCTCGTATACACTTAGGAGAAAGAGAAGCATATAGGTTTTCATAACTTATGCATAATGGTCTTAGGTCGCCAACCTTTTCATAACATATAGAGCGCGTCCGCCTTAACATAAGACACGCACGTGCCTAGCATATGATCATAGCTTCTTATCATAATGGCATCAAATGCTGATCATGCTCATCATACAAAATAAAATCAAATCTCGCATCAAATTCACACCAAGTATATTAGAGCCCAAAACCTTATTTTAATTCTTAAAGTATAGCACCTCTTATAAAACTTGTTTTATTCTTTAGTCTTCTTAAATTCATAATGTAAGCTTACTTTAGAACGTAAGTAACTCATGAAAACTTCATACTTAACCATAATTCCTTAACATAGAAAATTTCGTATCATATGAAATCATACATGTAAGCTTACTTTAAAACTTAAGTGACTCATGAAAAATTCATACTTAAACATAACTACTTAATATTGGAAATTTCTCATAAATTCCTTTTCTTCTTTTAAAACTTTCTTAAAGTCATAATGAAATTTATCATAAGAAATTTCTTATCATTAAAATCATACTTCCTTATTTTCAAAATTCAAAGTACATACACCTTAACCTAAACATAAGAAAATTTATCAAAAATAATCATATTTATGTCTTATTATATAGTATATATATATATATATATAATTATATATATATATATATATATATATAAATATATAATATATATAATATATAGCAATAAATATAGCATAACATAAAAAAAATAATTAAGCCTTACCACCATAAAGTGGTTCGGCCTCTTAATGAAAACCAAGGGGAGGGATTTTTTTCTCCAATCAAGCCTGCTAACATAACTCTTATGCACCAAAGTATCCATTTCAACCCTCATCATGCATTATCTAAACCAATTCCACACTTTTTCCCGAAATGTCCAACAAATTTTCCTATGTATATGTATTTAAACATATCCACAATAACATTTTTTCAAACTTATCTTCTTTTTTTTTATCAAATAAATCCTAAAACATACAACTAATCAAGAGAAACTTCCTCACACCTGATTCTTACATATTTTTATCTAAATAAACCTATGTTTCAATACATAGAAATTTTCCAACGTTAAAATAAACTTGACCTTTGCTGAGTTCTTGAGACATAACATGAGTTATAGGTCTCCAAATTGAGTGAAGTTAAATTCACTAGAAAACTAAGACAAAATGTTACAAATATTATGGAGGGATCATAGCCAGATCAATTTGTAAGATGGTAAACAAAGGCTAGGAATACAGACCAACAGTCCAAACCTGATTCAGCAGAACCAAATCCAATGTTTATTAAATTCCTTATTTAAATTCCTACTTATCCAAAGACTCAAATTAAAACCAATTCCAAAAACCAAAACCAGGGAAGTCTCAAGACATAGGGAAACAACTCTCATGAAGAACTCAGAACATAATCTTTCCATTATAGTGGTCAAAATGGGCACCCAATTCAAAGATGCATGTGGCCCGGTATAACAGAGTCAGTTTGGGTTATTCAGCCATAAGTTGAGCTATATTTAGCCAAATTGGACACAAGAGGATGGGTTGGAAAGCTAAGAAGTAGACCTACAACTTTTATGAAGAGCTCAGACACAAATGGAACATAAAAAGGATCGACAAATAGTCCTTAAGCTCACCTAATAACACATTTTCCCCAAATTCAGCTTACTTTAACCATGAAAGAACATGAAAGACAAAGTTACATGGTAGGCTTAGAGATTTCTAACCACATACTAAATACTCATCAAACATCACCCGAATAGCATGTCTATTGCAACCAAAGTTCTACCAAAATTCAATCATTTCATTACAAAATCCCAAAATACATATATGCATATGCATAAAATGCACAAAATCAAAAATTTAAAGTAAGTAAGTGTTTAGTTTGAACAGTAACATTAAAAATAAGCTTTTAGCAAGCCTTTAGCAAGCTTAAATTAAAGCTTTCTAAGCTCTAACTTTGCCTTTACTCCATGGTAGAGGTTTCCCCAACCTTTGGATTAAGTAGAGAATCTCCAAATTTCTTGAAAATAATCACCACAAAACACTTCTCAAGCTTAATTCTCTAAGATTAATTACTTAAATCAAGTTGGGTGGGTTCAATTTGATGGATTTAACAAGTAATAAGTGAAGAAAAAAAAAGAAGAGAAGAAGAAGAGGGATTTGGCGTTGAAGAGAAAAAGTGGTTGCTCAATAATTGGAGTTGACCTTATAAAATGATCAAAGGGTATTTTGGTCTTTTTCCATAATTGGATGGCTAGAATTGAGTCAATAGTAATCTAATCTAATGGCTACAAATATTCTCCAATTAAATTCCTTCAAAATATTATTTATTTCCACAAAATTCTTAAATTTACTCTTCTTAAAATTTACGTCCATAAAAATAATTCCCTCAAAATTTCCTTAATTACTATAACCACATAATTCACTTTCACTAATTATTTAAAATTCTTCAAAAAATATTCATTACTTACTCGTCCACCATAATAATCATGTTCATACTCCCAAAAATATTAAATAAAAATATTTAAAAACATAAATAGTAATTTTTCGAACCAAAATAATTACCGATTCCGGGACCGGAGGTTACTATTTCACTAGTCCACCCATAAAAATCATGTATGCATACTCCAAAAATATTAAATAAAATATAAAACATAAATAGTAATTTTTTCGAACCAAAATAATACCGATTCCGGGACCGGAGGTACTATTCATAGACCGGTGGTACTATTCATAGCCCGGTAAATCACTGTCAATCCATAATTAATTATATTCAATATCTTCCTTGGGTCTAAATAAAATATTATTCTCCTCTCTGCAGCACCTGATAAAATAATACCATTTTAAGATTCAAAAATTTTGGAGCATTACATCTACGATATGTATTACCTCAGAGAGAGGGTATACGAGTGGGAGCTTGGCTCAGATCGGAGGAGAGTCCCTCACGATGTTTCATACTACATGTTGTCGATGAGATCTATCCGGCTGGAGTAGGACATTGAAGTTGCTCGGAGAGGGTCAACTGTTACAAATCACCTAGCGGCCTTTGTGGCTGGCGCTTATGTTGTATTTGCGTGAACTCAGCTACTGATTCACGTCCCTCCTCCAACTGAGTTTGATCCTTTTGCTGAGGCGAAGGAACTAGATAGAGGCCAGGGCGCTGCCCCGATACATGTAGATTTTAATTCTTTTATTCTATTTTTTGGCTTTGCCCTAGTATCTTTCATTCATAAACTGTGCCTTATTCTTACAGCAGTAACGCAGTACGCACGTGAGGAGAGGTTTCGAGCCTAGAGCTCCGGATATGGCTGTTATTGTCAGCATGCCAGAGCATGGGCCAGGCACCTCGTTTTCCTTTATTCTGGACGACACAGGTCAGCCTGCCCAGACATACTAGAGATGCATCTTGTGAGTCCTTACCAAATGTCACCGCCCTGCTGCACCCACGTGAATAACTTCTGTTTTTTTTATTCTGATACTGCTCTTTATTATTATGCTTACTTATTGTTTGCTCCTACCCCTGTGTTATTCTGCAGGTGTCCATTGATGACTACAATGAGTTGTGCCAACTGTATGAGGCAGCTCATTTGAAGTTAGCAGAGGCAAGGCTCTCGGATGAGCATATATCTGTAAGTATAAACACTACAAAAAGAAGACATACAATGCATATGCCATGTATAGTAATGCCGTAAGAATTTGGTTATATCCTTGTCTGGTATAGACATATATCCTGCATTTTATGATCAAATACTCATTAGAGAAATTTTCAAGAAAAAAAAATCAAAGTAAAAAAATAAATCAAGGAGGTAATACTGTAATAGTTTAGTAATTACCTCAATTGTGCCAATACCTCATTTCTAGTTGTGACAACAGTACATCTGCTATAGCAACACGCTTAAGAGGAAATAATAGATATCATGAAGCAATATCAAACATGTCCTCTGCCTGCACAAATCATACAGTGGGGTATTGGACATATATTTAAATAATATTACAAGTCATTTTGGTAAAGAATATAAGATACCTAATCTCGATCTACATCGTTCAAACTATCAGTATACCTGAATCAATCAAGGCTCAAAATAAGTCGTCTGGTTAGTTTCACAACGACAATAAATTTTGCACCAGTCTCGATCTACCCTGCATCTGCATATTTTCTCAAATAGGGATTTCAAAGCCTATTTACCCCATTCATAATGTTACCTTACAACCATTTTATTTTTCTTTTTTGTATGATTTTATAATTTTATTTGACCGTGCAATTCACATGTCAAGATCTTGCGGTAAGTGGGTGATTTGAGCTGAATTTGACAAATTATTGTACAATTTGGACGTAAAAGTCAGATTTGACCTTTTAATTCTTGCGTGTCAGGTTCATGGCCAAAACGGGCTTTATTCCTATACATATAAATATAGATTATATAAATAGATAAATATATATTAATTTCTCAAAATAAAAATCAGAACAAAACCCCTGAAAAACCCGTTCCTAAACTCTGCTAGTCTGCTCAACAGTAGAGTATGTCTTTCACTCCTTCCGTCTCCATCCCCACCTCCAATCCCTATATCTTCCCTAAAAATCCCTTCCTCGTCTCTGTAAGTACATTCCTACGTGTATCTTATATTTGGCCGGTCCTGCAGCAGTGAGCGTTTTGATTTTTGATGTTTTGTTTAAATATTTTTTTGCAGAAACTTAATGGAATCAAAATATGGAGAAATCCTCGTTTAGCGACTAATAAATTGGTGGTGAGGGCTGGGCCGAGGAGGATATCTTTTGGGAAAGAATGTAGAGAAGCCTTGCAAGCTGGAATCGATAAGCTAGCTGATGCTGTTTCTTTAACCTTAGGTCCTAAAGGTAACCTGGTTTTTCTTCCCTTTCCATTTTTACTTTCTGTTACTTTGCATTTCTTTTTCCTTATAAATAGTTTAGCTTATAGTTTAACATAAAAGCATATTTCAGTGAACTATTACTTATTTCTTTCCTGTACTTATGATGACCAGATACACTTGTTTGGTCATCTACTTTACACCTACCGTTTCGGAATATTGAATATACTTCTTGTTGATTTTACTTAGTTTTTCACTTTATGTTCAAATCCAGGTCCACCATCATTTTCAATGTGTTTGTTCTTTAGAGTGGCATTGTTATGCCATGGATTGTTGTGCTTCAAATCAGTGAAATCACACTTACCCCATGATATTTTGAAGCTTTAGGAGAACAAGGAGTAGAAAGGGATCATAGGTGGTTTATTTTTGAAGGTTATTACTTCGAGGTTCTTTCCCAACGTTGGTGAAGTAGGGATTGATGTATTGAATTCAGCTGAAGAACTTTGACACCTAAGTGTCAAGGTCAAGCAAATACAAGCCAAACTGACTGAGCCTTTATGGGATTGTTTGAAGTGAAACTATTTGCCCTAAATTTTTTTAGGATGTTTTGTACTTGGGCTGCTGCTGGTTTACAGCTCTTGCTATTTCTGTCCTTCTGTTTGTGTGCAGATATGGTTGGTAATTGTTTTACACAGCATTTCTAATGCACTCATGTAATATAGTAGAAGAGTAAATGATGATCGAGGAGATAGATCTGATAAGTTCAGACATGCAGTTTACACATTGAACCTATCATATATGATATTAGGCCTAAAATACAATCTCCACTCTGCATTAGAATATTAGGGTTAAATGTATCAACTGTAATGTTATAATTTATGGTCATGCTTTCACCTGGAGGGGAATCTAGGCCTTTCCTTCAATTGTGATCAATATTTGAAATATCATTACGATTAAATGCTTTTACAAAGAAGTGGCCACAATAGGTAAATTTGATCAAAATTCGTAAGGCTTTTGGTCATGACCCTTCAGTTTATCATTCTTAGTTGACATTGATGTTACTAAGTTGATATGTGTTGCTGATACGTTTTAAGCAAAGTTCTGCAGGACGCAATGTTGTTCTTTCTGATTCTAAGACATTAAAAGTGGTAAATGATGGTGTCACAATAGCTCAAGCCATAGAGCTTTCAGATGCAATGGAGAATTCTGGAGCAATGTTAATCCAAGAGGTCATTCATGGTTGCTACATAACCCTCTTCTTGAATTTGCATTCGTGCATTATATGATGTAATTCAACCATGAAAATGTGAAGTTGAAGTGTTTGCTTGCAGGTTGCATGTAAAATGAATGCTTTGGCTGGTGATGGCACAACTACTGCAATCATTTTGGCTCGTGAAATGGTCAAAACAGGCTTGTTAGCAATTGCTTTTGGGGCCAACCCTGTTTCTTTGAAGAAAGGAATGGATATGACTGTAAAAGAATTAGTTCAAGTCTTGAAGAAGAAAAGTTTTCCGATAATAGGGACAGAAAATATAAAAGGTCTTTATTTCAACAGTACTAAAATATAGTTGAAAAATTGCATTTGATTTAAAAGAATCTTGAAATTCTTTACTTGTTTTTTTGCAGCGGTTGCTTCAATTTCTGCTGGGAATGATGAATTTGTTGGTAACTTAATTGCTGAGACTATAGACAAGATTGGCCACGATGGGGTAATCTCCATTGAATCATCTTCAACCTCTGAAACCTATGTGATCATAGAAGAAGGAATGAAGGTGATTAAACTAAAGTTGCTTCAAATTCTTGTGACATATTTGCTAGAAATTGGGTATCAAGACATAGGTTTGGTTAAAAATTTTGACTTCACCATCACTTTAATTTATTGTTGAATTGTCAACAGTTTCTTAGTTCACAAAAGCATATATATATGAATGAGAATATAATATTGGAAACTGGGTATTTGATTGAAACAACAACAACATTAAGCCTTAGTCCCAAATTATTTGGGGTTGGCTATATGAACGCTTTGTTCCAATATCGCTTATGCTCAAAATAATACTAACAATTAAAAGCAAAGTATTAAAATTGTGAATGGTTTTGGATACTTATTTTGTTAATTTTTTTTTTTTTTGAAAAGCGATTCATTCTGCTTTATTCATAATCAGAATGCCAAGTGGCCCTCAAAGCCGATCTGCATAAACAACATTCTGTATAACTACATTTGCCTTATTGGGTGAACTAAGCTTATAGTTTTATTATTCTTAAATCCTTCTTTGCTCTAAGGAGATAGTTTCAAGAGAATGCATTATCTATGGTTTGAAAGAATAAATCAGTCCAACTGCAAATGTTTTAAATGATTGAGATGCTGTACTTCCATTTTGTCATTTTTTCTGTCTTTTGTTTGATTAAAACCCATGGAATTTTTTCTTTTTCCAACTTTTCTTTTCTATTTTGTTATGAGCTATGTCCTTTATTGTTTCTCAATTCGCTGCACAGGTTGACAAGGGTTACATGTCACCACAATTCATAACGAACCAGGAAAAATCTCTGGTAGAGTTTGACAATGCCAGAATACTAGTAACTGATCAAAGGATTGCAACTGTCAAAGAAATTGTCCCTTTGTTGGAAAAGACTATGCAACTCAGTGTCCCACTTTTAATCTTTGCTGAGGATATCTCAAAGCAGGTGTTGGAAACTCTAGTGGTGAACAAAATGCAAGGTTTACTGAATGTTGCTGTTGTCAAATGCCCAGGATTTGCAGAAGGAAAGAAAGCCTTATTGCAAGATATTGCCCTTATGACAGGTGAACCTATATCTCACTCACTTTCCAATTTAAATGTAGTTTGTCTAAATTTGAAGTCCACACCTATGTCAATGACATGATAATAAGTGTTTCCGTTTTTGTAGGTGTGGATTTATGTGCATGTTACTTTCATTATGTCTGAATAGTTGTTTGATATGTGCAAGTATGGTCTGGAACGTTACAGTGATAAGGGAAGTCCATGATGATTTTTTCTGTCTCATTTATGATGTTTCTAATGTGTTTGGTAGATAATTCATGAATTTTTTCATTTCACAATACTTATTTTCAGATTTAGGTTTTGGGATTTTCATGTAATAGAATAATCATCCGATATGGTTGTATTTAAGCTGTTTTCTATTGCAAAGAAATCCTAATGATGCTTGATTGGAATGCATTTTGGTTGGGGGAATATTTATGTCATTTGCTAAATGCAGTAGTCTAGACTTCAAGGCTTTTTTTATTGTTGTCTTGTACATATAAGAAAAAGTGTAGAAATGTACTAGGAAATTAATATAGTTAAGAACAAATTAGTTAGTTAGAATATTCTCTATAGTACAAATACACAGCTGGCTAGTGACAGCTAGTGTCCTTAATTTCTATATGTATGCGTCTCACTAGAGGCAAGGATATCATATTCAGTAATACAAATCTACTTCTCTCTGTCTTTCTCCCTTCTGTCTCTCTTCTTTCTTCTGTCATTCTCCTTCTTTTTCTCCTATTCTGATCTACTTTCTATTCTCTGCTTATTCTAGTTCCTGTATCTATTCTATTGTCACCCATCAGTTAGGAACATTCCTAACATGTCTGTCTTATGCTTGTTTATTACTTAATAAGGCTTAGTTGTTGTTCCCACTTCTCATTTGTCTTGTTTCGTTCTTGCAAATGATAATACAGTCTTTGATTCTTATAAATGGTGAGTCTGGAGGAGAAAAATGCTTTGATGTTTCTAAAAGAAGTATAATTTCTTTTAACCATTTCTTCCCCGAACTGGAGGTTATTAATTTGAGAAATTTACACTCCTACCGTCGTGTTCTGAATCTTATTATGAAGAAAATACACATTCAACAAGAAGAAAGTGGGACATATTTGTCTGTTGCTGCCTCCCATCCTCTTAATTGTGTTGAGGCATTATTATAAATGCTATGACAAACAGAATTCACCAGCTCCCTTATTTTGTACTGGCCAATTGTGAATGCTTTGTTACATGACAGTTTGTAGCGCATTAGTTATGGTTCTATATAGCTCTTTGTATGCACCCTTGTATAATTGATTTCATCTTAATAATTTCAGGTGCTGATTTTCTTTCGGGAGATTTTGGTCTGACTCTCTTAGGTGCAACCTCAGATCAACTTGGCATTGCACGGAAGGTTACCATAACAAGTAACTCAACAACCATAGTTGCTGACCCTTCTACTAAAGCTGAAATTGAGGCAAGAATTATGCAGATGAAGAAGGATCTTGCTGAAACAGATAACTCATACTTGTCAAGAAAGCTCTCAGAAAGGATTGCTAAATTGTCCGGTGGTGTGGCTGTAATTAAGGTTTGTAGTCTAACAGGCTAGTGTATAAACCATTTCATAGAAATTCTCATTGCAGATTCATTCCCTTTTTTATATGACCCCGTGGTTCTGCTGAATGAATAAAATTTATGTTGGAAATGCTTCTTTGACACTAGCTGCTGAGTATCCGAGATTCAGGTCTAGTTGAGTGAAAGATGAAGATTAGGCACTATACAAGTGCAATATGACATACTGCAGGATCGATAGTGTGACAGAGAAAGAGTCCTGATCTATAGCTAGTTTTCATTATGCATTACTCGATTTTTATTTTATTTTTGACAAGAGATAGAAACTATGTATAATCACAATCAATTTTTGAGTTGCAAAGTGGACAATGTCCAAAGTACATTTGTGTCGCAACTTGCAAAGTAACCAATCAAACAATTTAACAGTAAATGACCACATTGGTGAGATTTGAACATGGGATCTCCTGGTTCCCAAGGTCTCAACTTTGGTCTTACTCGTAGACCAAAGCTTCTTTGGCTTATCAATTTTGATTTGCTCTTTTTGTTTTCTATTTCAAAAGATCAACCTTGCCATTAGTTTTGCCCTTTCAACCATCTTTTAAGTAACCCTCTTTCTTGGGAGAAATTGATTCACATGAAGTTTTCTGTATGGCTTCTATTATCATCAAGGCTTCTGGTGTCATTGCCATTGCTAGCTTGTTTCCATTGTTAACCAAAGAGAGGAGAGAGTCAAATGAAAGTGTATGTTTTGAGCTGACGTTCTGAAAAAAGACCAAGGAGATGGGTATAACTTTTTGTGAACCTTCCTTTTATCCCCAGAATTGTGGCAATTAGTCAAATGGCTCAAATCAATTCTCGTAGTATTAATGAGAAATGGTTGAAAAATGTGATGTAGATATACTATTTATATGACTTATCTAAGATGGTGGTTGTCAACAAAAGGAGTATCCTAGAGCATCCTACAATTAGAAACATGTTGAGAAAGGAACTCACGTTTGAGTATTGCATGCACTCGAGTCCTTAGTGACTTTTGGTTGCACCTTAATTATCATTTGGGAAACAATGGTTGTTCACCATTGGCACACTATTGGCACCCTTGAGTGGATGATCCCTGATGAAATAGTATCACCTTTACTGTCTTCCAATTTATGTCTTTATTATGTTTTTTCCATTTTAATATATTTTCTACCGTCCAACTTCAAATGTCTTTCACAAACTTTGGCAGAAGCCTACTTATGCAGAATTTTTCCTAAGGTTTATATGTTGTGTGAATTTTGTTTGTTCTAAGACGTGCTTGATTGCACAATATGTTGGCACATTTGTCTGATTCAGCTGGTATACTTGAAACACTGAAAATTTGGTTTGAACTCATTCGATGGCTTCTGGCGCCTCTTGCCTGTGCCGAGAGCAGCAGGTCCGCGCGCATTGACACGCGGTTGGATAACCCACTCAACAATTCTGAGCAAACCCATATTGGTTGGTTTCCCTATATAGTTATTGCTGCCCTTCACCGGCCTTCCTCAAGACTTCACGAACTTCGGTGACCAGTCTCTGCGTCTTCACACTACGTAAGCATAATTGTGGTCCGCGGATGCAGTGGCGAGGTCGAAGCAGGAAACGGCAGGGTGCAAAAAAAGGTGTCGATCAGGCCGATTCGATGTCTGCGGTGATTTGTGGATTTTGAAGCTCCTGCTGGCCAGAACCTCTTGGCTGCTTGTCGATCACGGAGTTCTGCGGCATGTTACGGCTCGCGCTGGAAATCGTGCTTAAGCCTCCGCCTGAGAGGCCTAGGCCCTTCTTTGCTTCAAGTGGAGGGCGGAAATCAGAAAACCCCTGAAATTATGTCAGGCCGAAAATCCTTATCCGCCATATGAGTGAATCCGTTGCGGCGACTAGCCTATTCTATCGCCCGATAGTTGGTTCCCAAGTGGTATCATCATCAGAGGGGCTTCGCTGTATCAGTGGTGCGTTCTGTGTCTCATAGATCCTTCGCCTTGGCATCACGTCGGCTCAGTCTTCTCGCTTTTCTGGATAGCATCGATAGCTAAGAGCGACTCTGTGCTTCGTGTATCTCTGGTTCTCAGCACCGTGCGGTTGTCGGGTTGGGGCTACCCGGAGCGAAGAAGAGGTCAAAGGAAACAGTAATTGGTTTGAGAATTGTTTCTAGAATACTAAAGTGTCTTGCAAGTCGTTATGGACTTGCAGTCTAACAAGTGGCCAACGGTAAGCCGTGCGCCCTCGCCAGTTTCTTGGAACCACCGACCTCCTTATATGCGTCATCTGAGTGGAGTACCTATCCGCCAGAATTCAGAGTTAAGTTTTGACGTGAAGATCGACGCATTTTCCTGGAAGGCACCAGATATGCAACCCATAATATGGACATACTGCGGTGATAGTGTGGACAGAGAAAGATGTTCCTGAATCCTATAGCTGAGTTTGTCATGTATGGCATTACTCGATTTTTATTTTATTTTTGATCAGAGATAGAAACTATGATATAGATTTTCCCACAATAAATTTTTGAGTTGCCAAAGTGTGACAATTGTCCGACCAATGTTTAACAAATTTGTGTCGCAATAATTTTGCAAAGTAATCCAATCAAACAAATTTTTACAGTATGACACACAATTGGATGAGATTTAGAACATATAGGAGCATCTCCTGAGATTCATACACCAAAGGTACTCAAAAACTTTGACGTAACTTGAACTCGTTAAGGACCCAAAGCTTTCTATTGGCAATATTCAAATTTTGAATTTGCTCTTTTATGTTAACTTCTTAATTTCAAAAAGATCCTTGCATTAGTTTTGCCCTATTACAACCATCTATTGTTAAGTACCATCTTCTGAGGAGAAATTGGATTCACATGAGTTTTTTCTGTATGGCTTTCTTTATCACGGGCTTCTGGTGTCATTGCCATTGCTAAGCTTATGTTTCCATATGTTACCAATGAAGGAGAGAGTCAAATGAAAGTGTATGTTTTTAGAGCTGAACGTTCTGAGCCCAGGAATGGGTATAATTATTCGTGAACCTTCCTTATTATACCCAGACATTGATGGCAATTAGTCCCAAATAGGCTCAAATCCAAATTCTCGTAGATATTATAGGATGGTATATTATGAAAATTGAATGCGTAGAATATACTTAATTTATATGACTATATCTAAGATGGTTGGTTGTCAACAACAGAGAGTATCCTAAAGCATCCTACCAATTTAGAAACATGTTGAAAGGACTCTCAGTTGGAGTTTGCATGCAACTCGGTCCTTTAGTGACTTTATTGGTTGACCTTAATTTCATCTGGGAACATGGTTGATTCAACCATTGGCACAACTATTGCACCTTGAGTGATGACCCTGATGAATCGTATCACTTATGTCCTTCCATTTTATTTTATGATCTTTAATTTATAGTATTATTTCATTTAATATTTTATCTACAGTCCCATACTTAACAAATTCTTTCACCACTTATAGGACAGAAGCCATCACTTATGCAGAAATTTTTCCTAGTTTTATTTTGTGTGAACTTATTGATTTGTTCATAAGAACGTTGCTTGAATTGCACATTTGAGTTGGGCACATTAATTTTGGAGTCTGAATTCGCTTGGTATAACTTGAAAACACTCCGAAAATTGGTTTGAACTTCATTGTAATTATATCAATAGAACAAGTGCATCTGGAAAAGAAGAATTAATCAAATAGCCATGACTTTAACAGCTTAGAATGAAAGATTATAAGTTATATTAATTCAAAAAGCTTATCCAACAAATAATTTCTTCATAGTTAAAAGTCTTATATTATTCGCAAACCATGGAGGCCTCTTATAGACCATTCATAAAGATTGTAAATATAATTCCGTTTAGGAGATTTTTTTCAAAATGAGGGAATCATCAAGGCTCAATATATTATTATATAGCTTTTTCAAACGAAATTGACTATACGAGCAGACTTACTTGCTTAAGCTCCACAGACCACATAGTATGTAGGGATTCCTTATCATAACATTAGATCTTAAACTTATCAGTTCGATATTAGGTTATTGTTTTCTTTGTGTGTGTGCAATATTATGCATAAATGCAAGCCATAGAAGGCAAATAAAAATCATAGAATTTATCAATATATTATAACCTTTCTATGTTTGACTTGACTATAGAGTGATATGATATTTGCATTGTGCCGACGCTAGGGAGCACCACATAGCACGGAACAACAGGAAACTTGTGAGAATAAGGAAACTGCAGGAATGAGGATTGGCAAAAATGCCAACATATGACTGCTATGAGATGAGGGATAGGTACATGGTGGCGAGCGTATGCATACCGTAGCTCTTCAGCATATGATTTCCAACATGACAGAGAATCTAATGGAAGATCAGATAACAGAATTGAGTGCATGAATATATGGTTACAAAGGCTGTGTACTTATTATATTCTACTTTTCGTACCACTCCTATTATTAGTTTTTTTTTTTTATTTTTTAATATTTTATTTTTTTATTTTTTGATTATATTGTTATTTTTTATTTTTTTTTGCTCTCTATTTTTTTTTTTTTATTTTTTTTATATTTTTTTTTATTTTTTTTTATTTTTTATTTTTTTTTATTTTATTTCTTATTATTTATTTTTTTTTATTTTTTTTTTATTATTATTTTTTTTTTATATTTTTTTTATTTTTTTTTTTTTTTTTTGCTTATTATATACTTTTTATTTTTTTTTATTTTTTTATTATTTTTATTTATTTTTTTATTTTTTTTTTATTTTCATTTTATTTTTTTTTTTTTTTTTATGTTATTTATTTTTATTTTTTTTTATATTATTTTTATTTTTTTATTTTTATTTTTTTTTTTTTATTTTTTATTTATTTTTTTTTATAATTATTTTTATTTTTTTATTATTATTATTTTTTTTTTTTTATTTTTTATTTCTTTATTTTTTAATTTTTTTTTTTTTTTTTTTATTTTTTATTTTTTATTTTTTTTTTGTTTTTTTATTATTTTTTTTTTTTTTTTTTTTTTTTTTTTTTTTTTTTTTTTTTTTTTTTTTTTTTTTTTTTTTTTTTTTTTTTTTTTTTTTTTTTTTTTTTTTTTTTTTTTTTTTTTTTTTTTTTTTTTTTTTTTTTTTTTTTTT